TACATTCCTTATTGCCATATTAGTAGACGCTAAAGGTGTAGTTGTAATTCTGTCAGTAGTAACAGAACATTTATACAGGCCAGACACTCTCATTCTAAATATTACTGATACTTGTACTTGTACATCATTATTAACTGGTGTTACAGTACGTATCAGATCATTATCAGATACATTAAACTGGTTTCCATTATCAACAGAGCAAGTGACTATTGTTGGTGATCTATTAGTGACAGTAAATGATAAACTAAACACTGGAGGATCAGCATCAACTGATGAGAGGAGCTGGAAGGAGGGACTACTGCCATAAATAACTGGAAGTTCTGTACAATGAGAAAATTAAATAAAAGTGTTCTGTTATTTTAAGCTTACCATTATCCTTAGGGAAATCCCCATTACCATAAGCAGCAACATACAGTGTCTGATTGATTCCTTCTTCAATTGGTATAACACAACTGTATAGTCCTTGAATACTTCCTATTCCTCCAATTCTTAACAAACCAATTTGACCAGTAGCAGTGTTGTTAGCAAACAGAGGACTACCAGAACCCAATGGTACAGTTGTTCCATCAGGATAATACCATGTTCCTATCATATTCTGATTAAGAGAACTCTGACACCACAAACCATCATTCTGACCATCAGGACCAAGAAGAAAACCAATAGCATTATCAGCTTGATCTATATCTTTATCATGAAACAGACCAGCAGCTATCATTGAGAAATTAGCAATAGTCACATTCTCCTCACCAAGAAACAATCTTACACCTATTAACACAATAGAGAGGTATTACATAAACTATACACTGACCAGTAGTTGGACGAGGAGGAAGAGACCCAAACTCTTGACATGATACATGAAGTACCAATGATAAGTGAAATAACCAGAGCAACATATCTTAGACTTACACACTTCAAGCCAAACTTGATGCGGAAATTTCAGTATATGACTTCGCATTATGAAGAAGAATAACATTCAATAAGTAAAAATAACTGTAGTTTAGTCTGTCAACATTTTTGTAGAATAGCATAACTGACATAAACATTATAAGAAAAGGTACATGAACATAAATACAGAAAATATTGAAGACTCTAAAACTGAGGCGCCTTGCAGAATTTTCATAAAAATTATCTTATCTGACGTACACTTAACATTATAGTACATGTATATGCATTGGCTGAGTTCCTATAGCAGTGTTGACATTGTGGACAAGCACAACAACACCACAATCAACACAACCTAAGCTATAGTAAACATAAACTTCATACACTCTCACAATAGCCAGACAATAAAGCAGTATGGAGTAATACAGGAATACCAAAACAGAATTTCTTAGGAAACAAAAGAAAAATTTTAACAAAGACTAAAACAGTGGTAGACTGGACACTAAATATGTACTCAATAACATGAAAAGTGTATTAAAAACATTAATTAATCTCTGATTCTTATTATATGCCTCTATGCAGTGGTAGGTCTATACTATTATAGTAAGAATACTAAGAACCACCAGACCCTCCACCTGATCCATCATCTCCTCCATCAGCAGCATCATCAGGATCATCCACACCAAACCATTTCTTCATGCCAAACCCTTCATTAGTTGCACTGGCCAACTTAGAATTCTGAGATCTACATGTACAAGAAACAAATGACAATGAATGGATACACAGCAAGCATACACACACACACACACACACCTACACCCACACGCTGGGCACAACTCTTATCCTCTTGTTTCTCAATATCAAAAATAAGCTCATTTCTCTCATTTTATTCTACCCTTCTCTCTCCAAACGTCATTCCCTCCTCTCTCCTTACTTTATTTTATACAATATTAAAATTGATAATACAATACATATTGCAACAACAATCCCCCCAACAACTGCTGGAATAACAATCTCAAGTGTCCTGTCATTATTATCATCAACTGGTATTATTGCTGTAAGAAAAGGAATGGAGAGAGAGAAAAGGAGGAATTAATGATAAAATTGGTTTTTAAAGTGTATTGATCTTACTTGGTGCTGTTCCAAAGAATAAGGAAGGTAGTTAAGGTACACAATAAAAATAAAAGAAGAAAAAGAAAGACCAGATAAAACAGGTTATTATACATGTATAATATTTAGCACTTACCTCCAGAAGGAACTATAAAAAGTAGAGAAGGAGAAAAAGATTAAATAGAAAAGACACAATATAAATCAAATACTCATATAAAGTTATTATCCCTTACCTTCTATTATAATGCCACTGACTGAGGCCCACCTACTGTATGGACTGTACACATAAGTAACATCAGGATTAGCTGTACTCTGAACTGCTGTCCTTACCCTCACCTTAACAATAAGTAACAATCACATGATAATCACATAATGATACTGAGGTACATGTACATGTAAGCCTGGTAACTGCATGTACTGTACAATATAGAGGGTTTCCCACAAAGCATGCTAAGTGAGCTAAACAGCATGAGCTTCATGAGCTGACAAGCACTACAATACAGTACATGGCATTTGGAGCAACTTTAAAAATTTATTAAAAAATCCAAAATTATAAAAATGGAAAATTCTCTCCTAGCCAATTTTGACAAAATTTGGTTGAAATCACTGCACTATAGCACAGGAACTTTGGCCTATTTTTTGAGTAACTTTAAAAATTCATAAAAAAATAATTTTGATCGGAATCGACTCAAACTTGCTACACAACATAAAAACATGTATACGACTATACGTATCAGAAAAAATTTAAAGAATTAAAAATCTACTTTTCATTTTTGGCAAAATTTGGCTAAAAACTGAAGTACAGGACTTTGGCCCATTTT